AAAAAAAAAAAAAAAGGTCATATCAATGCCAAATTTGTCAAAAAATGTTTACAGATATAAATTGACTTAAGTGAATTTACATTTCAATTCTAAAAAATTGATAGTTGCACATATAATTAAACGCACGTTAAAAAGTATTGAGGTGCTGATTTTCAGCAAAAAAATATGTCTGTTGCTATAATCATCAGAATATTCACTTTAGTGCATATTGTTTATAATATGTTTTTTCTCGGAATTCTCAGAACCATGCGGAGGGAAGTGTAAAGCCAATTCCTACTGTAGAGAGTCGGACAACACATGTGTTTGTAATACAGGCTACATTGGAGATCCATTAAGAGGATGCAAAAGTAAGTTATTCGTTCAGCTTTTTATCAATTATTTACAAAACAGATATTAAAGTTGACATTGTAATTGAGGATCCGTTATAGATATTAAAATAAACCATTGATATAAAGCAAATATATAACATCACCAACATAACAGATGACATTTTAACAATAAGACCGTAACAACATGGGCTAATACGAAGATACCTTAAGTTAAGGAAAGATGTAATGGGTCATAAAACAGCCCCATTCATACGAACAGAAAGAAACCTGTCGATTTCATTTACATACACATATATAATTCCAAAATATATGTTTATATGTATTATTCCCACAGGACCTTGTGATGATAAATGTAAGAAGAACTCCTACTGCGATCCCCATGACAATAGATGCTACTGTAATAAGGGATTAGTTGGAAATCCATATAAGGAAGGATGCGATGGTATTCAGACTTTTCTTCTTTATTCTTTTTAAAATTATTGTTATTATGTTACAAACATAAATAGCGAAAATAATTGTCTGCATTTTTTTATTCATTTTACTGTTTAAAGTCAATATCGGAGGAAAAGATGTTTACAAAAGCACAAGATGAAATCTGTCTAGCTTTAAAAAAGTAACTATTTTTTTATTAACTTTCCAATTAGCTACTGCAATTATCTGTTCATCACAAAAATAGCTCATGTTGAAGTCCATGTCGCTATTTGATGTATATGTTATGTATGTCTTGTTTTCAGTTCCTTGTGGAGGAAAATGTGTTCTAAATAGCTTCTGCAGAGAACGTGATAATAAGTGTTACTGTAACGAGGGATATGTCGGCGACGGATATGTCCGATGTGCCAGTAAGTAAATTGAGGCCATGGATGTTTTTTGGGGAGAATAAGCCTACAAATTAGTTGTTGTTGTCGTTAAATATAACATATGCGATAAAGCACCAGTATAGCCCATTATCAATAGCTGTTGATTAGATATCCAATCGTCAATTGTGAAGTCATTATCATGACTATACGGATTGCTTCTATTAGATATACAAGCATGTGGTTTAGTTATTATGAAGAAAAGCATAGTATTCGTCACATATATGTACATGTAAGTTTTAACAATTTCACACGGTTACTTTTACAACAACAACAAAATATAAATCATATATTTCTGATTCCATATATTGTACTTCGCGTTGTTAAATTAAACTACAGTGAATTCTGTTTTTTTTCCCATTACTTTTCCTCAAGTTTCATTATGAATATAATACGACACTGCTTCCCGATATTAGTATTGTCTGGTTCTTTTACAAGGAACGTTGACCGGATTTTTTTTTTTACTTTCATTGATCAAACACTATTGTAACATTATTGTTGTTTCTCAAGCGGATGTAGAATACTTTTGATCATATAATCAATGAATCAAAGATATTTTATATTAAAATGTTTCAAAATATACACGTTTTCAGAGCCTTGTGATGATGCATGTCGTCATAATGCTTACTGCAACAAGAGAGACGACACATGCTATTGTAACAAAGGATACATTGGTGATCCAAAGGTCGGCTGTGAACGTAAGTATTGATTTCTCAGCCGTACTGAAGCTATTGATAAAAAAGAAGAAAGAACAAGTACATTGTTAAAAGAAAAATATAAAGCGGGAATCTATGGCTTCAATAGTAAGGAAGTGTGAGAATTTTAACAACGTAAACCTCTGCGAAAAATAAAATAAAATTTAACTCAATAATTGTTGAAAGAAATCGTACTTGTCTTTTAACATAGATTTAACCATTTGATAATTTGTTTTGAGAAAATGCACATGATGAATCAAGAATTTGCATTAGTCTCAATTTTATAGGTATATATTCCACAGCTGAATCATTTGATATTTTGTTGATGAAAAAATAGCACACTGGTATTGTGTTTAACAGTTCCTTGTGGAGGAAAATGTGCGTCCACTGCATATTGCGACAGTGATTCCAACACGTGTAAATGCAAGAAGGGACTTGTTGGTGACCCTCATGTTAGATGTGGCAGTAAGTACAATTTTCGTTACAGACATGAGCTTCTTAAGCCAAGGAGTGTAACACTGTATTGATATTTCTGCTATTGTAGGATATGTGACAGGGTTGTTCTTTCCTTAACAGGTGACTGATTGGTCTTAATCAAGCTTTATTGTTTTCATGTAATGTAATGTATGAAATAAAGTTCTCATTTCGATTTCAAAACCTCTGTATGAACATGTAGGCATAACAAAACTAAAAGATGAGATTTGGATATAAGAAAAGCATAATGTTAAAATCCACACAAGAAATGATCCCACTTTTGTTCGATTTTGAGTTTAGCGATTCCATTAGATTAAACATAAAATGCTTTTTGTGCTTAATTTTCAGAACCATGCGACAACAAATGTAGAAAGAACGCGTTCTGCAACGGCAACAACAAGTGCCAATGCAATCCAGGATTCGTCGGGGATCCATATGAGGGCTGTGATCGTAAGTTACAGTTTTGCATTTTATTTATCATCTGTCCATTCATTCAAGTAGGGTAAAGTCAATTAAAATACAAAAGCAAAGATATCATCACAAAAGGTAATTTCGAAAAACAAAGACGGTACGAAAAGCCATTAGCAGGTACCACGTATGGCAAAAGAAACAAAATGTCGTGAAAAAATGTGTACTCGCTATGAGATAGACCTACGAATATTTGTTAATTCTTCTCTTATTGTTTCTCCTGTTTAAAAGACAATGCTGGGACTATAATATTTCTGCATTATACAGCGCTATCTATATATTTGTCTTTTGAATTTAAAGTACAAGAATTTTGAAACCCTTCTGAAATTATAATTATTATCTATTTCAAAATGATAATGATATATTTTGTATCTTCAAATATTGTAGTGACTATAGTATGCCATCATATATGTTTATTTTCTATAAAGATAATTCCTAAATGGGGAAAAGCATGGTATGTGTAAATGCTAGATACAATTGATATCAGACTTTAAACAGAAAAATAGAAAAACGCTGATAGAAATGTATTTGATATTTGAGAAGTAAAAGGTGTTATACATACTTAATTTCCGGGACCTTTCAACTTCCAATTAAGCATGCACCGTTAATAATGTATTTGATTTTATTCCCTTTCGGTCAATGCTTCAATTGAAGGGGTAACTCATTTTTATGATATATTATGGAAAAAAAAGACATGTCGGTCGTCCAGTGGAAGAAAACTCGTAATAGTGTGTATAACCTTTTTAAATTATCAAATGTCAATAACAATCATGTGCATTTTGAAATAAATTGATTGGTATATCGGATAGGTATTTAACATCGTTATGTTGTGGCAGCTTAAGCTCATTGAGTCCTTCTGTGATATGGGATAGATAAGACATGATGGCGATATGCCTATTCGATTTCTAACGAGAGGTGCAAACATGCGAAGATTACATCCATTTCGTGTCTGAAACGAATTTGCATTTTGCAGAAACGATTTTGTGAAAAAAATCATAAAACAGCTTAGCATATACTGTATACGTCAAATGACACAATGAATAAAAACAAACTTAACCGGTTCTATCGAAAACCTATATTTATGTATGTGTTGTAGGTCCATGTGGAGGTAAATGCAAGACCAATGCATACTGTGATGAACACACCAACACTTGCAAGTGTAACAAAGGATATATCGGTGACCCACTGAAAAAATGTTTCGGTAAGGTCACTAGAATTGCATACTTCTCGTCGAAAAATAAAAGGTCGAATAAGAGTGTAGTACATAGTTTGGATACTATACCTGTCCAAAGAGAATTCAAATTTACGTTAGATATTTATTTTAGGTGAAATCTAAGATATCAAATAACTGATGTGTTCATTCCAATGACCATTTCCAGAGAAAAAAATACCTAAATGCAATGTTCTGTTTAACAGTGTTTCTCTTTAACCATTGTTTTGTTTTTCTTGTTTAATCAACAGCAATACATTCCAGACAATTGTGTTTCATAGTCTTTAAAGTAGATTATTTAAACCTATACATTGATTGATCCGCACATAAAATAAACGTTGGATATTCTTTACTGAAATTAATTACTTACGGTGATATATTCTTTGGACTTTAACAGAACCAAGTGTATTCCAATTTGTAAGGCGTGCTTACACTGTTTCGGAAAGTGCCGGATCGGTCGATATCGAAGTAGCAAGAACAAGTGGATCTGAAGGATCCTATACAGTTTCCTGGGAGGCCAATGATAGATCTGCTAGACAACCTTCAGACTATGTTAATGGACAAGGAACAGTCAACTTTAAGACGAACGAGAAAACAGAAAAAATTACTATTAAAATCGTTAACGATCAGGTAAGAAATGGGATTGATATGCCTGGTTGTATGACCTTAGGCTTGCTCCGACCCGAGGCCCAGATATTCTGAATTCAAGGGATGGGATTTCTCTGGAAAAAAGAAATCCACAAAGCCGGCGATTTTATCTCCATCCTTTGAACAAAACATTTAAAAAACCATTATTATCAGAATTTGTAATTTAAGTTTAAGCCTAATGTACCATAGACTGCAACTGGTCAATGTGACGTCATAGTGTATTGTTCGCCTGATGTCATCGTGTTTTTTATTACTCTTGCGATCCCCTAGAGAATGACAGCAGATTTATAACCTAAAAATGACAGAGAAATATTTAACATGTATAACGTGAGACAATTTAGCGAATGATTGAAAAGGGTAATCGATCTGTATCTTGCAAAGCAGAGTTATTTTTTTAAATGTCCCTTTAAATATATATTTCTTTATATAATGTTTTTCAAAACGGATTAGATTTATTTTTGCATTTCATCCTGATAATTTTATTTTCTCAAAGTGGTTCTTTTATTCATCACTGATAATGCATATATATTTACCTTTGTATTAAGGTTTACGAGCCAACAGAGTCATTCACAGTTACCTTGACAGCCGTGAGCTCTAATGGAGCACTTGGCTCATTGATCGTAGTAACAGTCACCATCACCAACGACGATCGTGAGTTCATTCACATATTTAGCCGATGATAATTTGATTGCTTCTAAAATAATAATTTTCTTTTCTTAAATATAACACTAACACAGTTCGTCATTTATTGATATTCAAATGCATTCACTTTTAAATTAACAGCGGAATGTGGTGGCCCTTGTGGAGTTAACGCCCATTGTGATTCCCCTTCACAGAAGTGTATCTGTAACGTCGGATTCATCCTATTCCGTGGATCTTGTTCCCGTATGTTTAATTATACACATATCCTATGTTTATCAAAGGACTTTTTACCTCAAACTTGAGATCAATATTTGTTTTTATTATTTCAAGTTATAAAAGTAATTAGACCCTTCAGAAATGTAAATACATGTCTGAATTTCTTTTTGCTGTTTGCGACTTTTTTCTTCATGCGTGTCAATGTCACACAACGTTGTCCGTTCTTGATACAAAATCACGACGGCTGAGTGATTTTACACCTTAACCAAAGAAATACATTATTTTGTGAGAATGTAAGTCCCACTAATCTTCAATCTTTAAAGCAAATATTTTACAAACTACCACATTGCAGATGTATTGAAATATCTAGCTAATTTGTGTGTTTCCATAGGAACAAATACAGGAACAAGTTAAACACTTGCATAATGGAGAAGAGAAAGACTTCTATTCATTTGTTATGGTTTATATATAATTATTACATCACTTCTGTGTTCACACTCTCACTCGTTAATCATAGGGCCTTGTGGAGGACCATGTGGACCTAATGCCCGCTGTGATGAAACAACTAACAAATGTGTATGCATTACTGGATACTTTTTGATACAAGGATCGTGCAGTCGTAAGTTCGAGTTTCATTGAAATATCAGATTGCAAAAGCGTTACTTGGTCTTATTAATATGTAACTTTATGATTCTAACCTAGCACAACTAAATTGAGAGTACTGAAAGAATGCGAAACAAACCCTTTATATACTTTTGACTTTAAACGAATTACAGGCCCATGCGGAGGACCATGCAGACCAAACGAGCGATGTGACCGTAACTCCAACAAATGTGTTTGTATCCAAGGATATAGGTTATTCCACGGAAGTTGTGTTTGTAAGTATTCAGAATGAGGCATTGATGAATTATATAACAAAACGATTGAGAATCATGCAGAAAGTGACGAAGCACGAAAATGATACTATCTTTATACTTTCGAGTATTAATGTATTACAGTGCCATGTGGAGGACCATGTAGTCCAACTGAACGATGTGACTTTGACTTAAACAAATGTGTTTGTAAATCAGGATTCGTGTTACACCACGGCAGTTGCGTCCGTAAGTATACAAAAATGTCAATTCAATAAATTTATATAAGCGTGAGCAATGATCGTTTTGTAGAATTACATGTCTAAGAAATCTTATATTCTATTCATGTATAGGGTCCATACATTATAGTGCTGCCAATATGTGAACGGGGTTTATATTCTCTTTACATGCTCTGAAAACAAATGTACAGATATTGTACTTTTTGGATTAACATTGTTGAAACTACCGAGTGTTCACGTCAAATGAAGGTTATGTTTTACTATTGCATTGTGTCTGTATTCGGCTTGAATTTTACAGTACCATGTGGAGGACCTTGTGGCCCGAACGAACGTTGCGACAGTTCAACTAACCAATGTGTCTGTAATCCAGGATACTTCCGTTACCAAGGATCATGTTCCTGTGAGTACATGAATTGACTTCATACTGTATACCACAACTGTATCCGCCTTTTAAAGCCACAGCAACTCACAGCGTAATGAAAATACCCATCCTGTAGTGTTATACTAGTGATCGTTAAAACAAACATAATATATCAGATATGCTGTTTACTGACGTGAAATGATTAATGATAAAAAAAATATATCTTATTATCTGTAGTTTAATCGAATTGTCATTTTGGGATTTAACATTAAAACTGTTCCTTTGGAGACGGTTTCGGTTGTATTCAGATAGAAGAATGCTGAATGTTTCTGCCTACTCATTCCAAAAAAAAGACGATATTGTCTGCACAAATAGTTCATATCAATGCAAGTGATTTTAATGCTTAAGCACGGATACCATCGATTGGTTGAATATATGTTTGTCTTACTAAGTGATTGAATGTTCTAATCTTACACCTTTTTATAAATATGTAAGTAGTTTAATTTCTTAACTAAAAACCTTATAAATGAACTCGAATCAATGCGTTTTAGTGCCATGCGGAGGACCATGTAAGCACAATGAACACTATGACAAAGTCAGAAACCACTGTGTCTGTGACACAGGATATTTCCTTTACCATGGATTATGTACTCGTGAGGACAGAAATCGATTTTTACTACTTAACATTATTTATAAATGAACATCGAAGAAAAAACTACCGATAAATACCTCCTGACAACCAGTCTTTAGTAATTTATATATAAAAAAAAAATCCAATATGAAGATATCTTCCCATAAGGGTTATTTTCTGGAGGTTATGTTATAATAACTCGAATCAATGCGTTTTAGTGCCATGCGGAGGACCATGTAAACTCTACGAACATTGTGACAAAGTCAAAAACCAATGTGTCTGTAACACAGGATACATCCTGTTCCGTGGATCATGTTCACGTGAGTATTGAATCAGCTTCTTATTGTTTTACAAGAAATAACTAACTTCCTGACAACCTGTCTGTTGTTATTTGGGCCCCGCATCAAAGATGTATGATGCCCTATAGTAATCACGGTGTCCTGCTGAACGTCTGTCAGCACTTTCGTTTCCAGAGATTATCTCAGATTCCAAAGGTCGAAATTTCGGAATCTTCACATGGTGATACTCTTTGATGTGTAGATGAACAAAGGGGGTTTCACAATTTTATCAGGTTAAAGTAAAGGTCGTTGTAACTTGAAAAATGAACAGTCGGGGTATAATGTCAAAATACATTGTATGACCTTAAAAATGCCAGATTTCGGTAAACATATTTGGTATGCCATTATGAAGAACAAATGGTCAATATCAAATAGGAAGTTAACTTGCCAAATGTCAAAGTCATGGGGTCAAATGTCCAGGCTCATTATATAAATATCAACAGGTAAACACTTTGTGATAACATTATGAAGCAACGTTGGTCAGATTACTAGGGGGTCTGCAACTGCAATTAGTAATCATGCTGTCCATCCGTATGTCTGTCCACCGTCCGTCTGTCCCTCCGTTTGCCTGTTTTAACATCAGACATTGGATAAATATTGAAAAATATATATCAAAAATATTTATTTGTATCGTTCTTACAAGATTTTTCAAATCAAGCGAAGTATATCGGTTGTTGACTGTTTAATGAAATGGTTATCTACTTTAAACAATGGCGTTGTAAGTGCCATATGGAGGACCATATTGACCTCACCAACGTTTTGACAAAGTCGGTGACCAATGCGTCTGTATCATTGGATACTTTATATAGCAAATATAATGGGTCTATACGTACATGCTTTGTTTTTGTATAAACTTCCTTTACCTTGTACTGTACATCCGATTCCAAGCATCATGTACTCGTAATGAAATCATAGAAATATGCTTCATATCATCTAGCATGTACTGAAAAAAATCTTGTATTACTGTACGTTTTTTAATCCTGGAAATTAACTATATCCACCTTAAACCGATTGCTGACAATATTGCTTTTCACAGTGGTCAATACAAATTTACTAATAGATAAAGACAATTCATTGCTATTGATCCTATTTGAGATATTGTAATTATAAGATGCAATGAAACATTTGATATTAGGTCGATGAAATAATGAAAGATTGATGAATTAATTGCTTTTCAATCCTATTCCGCTTTTTGGTTGTTGTAATATAATTGATGATAGGAAAACTAATCTAACTGGCAGGAAAGATAATTTAAGTTTCTTTTCGAGAAAGAATTGCTATATAATATACAATGATAATGCTTTCAGTTCCATGTGGAGGAAGTTGTCCATCAAATTCTGAATGCATCAGCTCAGACAACAGATGTCACTGTACCCAAGGCTTTCTAGGAGATCCTTACAAAGGCGGATGTCATCGTATGTAGTTTTGACATCATGAGCTTGCGATCAAAGATTTAATGTAATTTACGAATTGCATTGGTGAATGTACTATATATATATATATATAGATATACGTTATGCATCAATTAGTTATTTCATACAGTAATGCATTTGATATTTCATTCTTCTCTCAATTCATATAATTGTTGTCTCGATATACGGTGATGAAGATTATAGATTTTTTTTCAGGTCGAAGCGTTGTACAGTTCGCCATAACAACCTACTCAGTGAGTGAAAGTGCTGGAACGGTATCGCTACAACTGTCAAGAACCGTTGGGCTGTTTGGCTCAGTGACGGTGTCTTGGTCTACCCGTGATGGAACTGCTCGTTACCCAAGCGACTTCTCTAAAAACAGCGGAGTGGCTACCTTCGGAAATGGTCAGAGTTCGACGACATTTTCTATTGGAATTGTCAACGATCAGGTAAAGTATACCATGGGTGGTAATTATGGATTTTGTTAATTTGTTACAATGCATATTTAAACATTTCACACATTCTTCCTGTTGATATACTTTATATGTTCATACGTTTACTCCAGATATTGATGATGAAAAGAATCATAGCATGAACCCTTTCCCTATAAATTCCAGACATATGAGTCAAGTGAGAGTTTTACAGTAACTTTGTCAGTGGCGGCGTTCTCGTCCAGCGTTGTAGCAATCGGAGAACGAAGAGTGGCCACAGTCACTATCACGAATGATGACGGTACGTCAGATTTTGATTATTCAGTTACAATTTTCTTGAATGAATTACTCGGGGTAATACAACGTCTTTAATCAAACATGTATATTTTAAAACGTATGAGCATTACAGGAGATCAAATACAAGCATATAATTTAGATAAATACGATTATGTAAATACAAAAAAGGAATATGTTGTTTACGTAGGTACACATTTACAGTTGACAGATTATACGCGATCGTTCATCGTAAAGTTGCATGTTTAGACAGCTAAAGGGAAATCCATTTTTGTTATGCTTGAAATCACTTCTTTCAGCACCGTGTGGTGGCCCATGTGGACCAAACGCCCGCTGTGACCTGACAACGCAGAAATGTAAATGTAACCCACGTTACGTCCGTTTCCAAGGCGGTAGTTGTCAATGTAAGTAATAAAGGTTGATTTCATTTCTAACAATCAACCATGCTCATTTTACTGAAGTAACCCGGATATAGGTTAATTACCCTAGAGTAATATTGCAACAGGTTATACTTTTTTCATTCTGCTTAATAATTCGCCCTGCCCGAAATCGGCAAACATGCAACCATGAGGTAGGAAAAACAAACTTCCAATGTTCAATGACCATGAACATGAGATGTGTTAATAAACTAACAATCATTTAACAAATAACACGCTACAACCCGTTGGCAATCCGATTTTTTCATATATGTCTCTTATAAATGTTCGTTGTTTATTAATCATATCATGTGAGAATTGCATAGAACCTGCATGATCGATATTTGTGTCTTATATTTATCATAAAATCTATTCGTGTTTGGGGGGAAAGGATAATTGTTCAATTTTACAAATACTTGTGTTCTATTCTTTCATATCCAGTGATGATATCAAAATGAAAATATTAAATATTTTGTGATGAAAAATATCTGGTATTGATAATATTATAGTTTAATGGACATTTTACTCAAATAAAAATATTACAACGCTCACAGATACGTTCTATAACATATAAAATGTAGATTCGCAGATTACTGCAAAATGCATATATTTTTTCGGTATATACCGTAACATTCCAACAGCAATCCTGGTTATTTCCTATCTTAACATTTTTGCAGTGCCATGCGGAGGATCATGTGGACCCAATGAAAGATGTGACAGTGTCACTAACCAATGTGTCTGTATCGATCGATACTATAAATACCACGGATCATGTGTCAGTAAGTACATACATAACCTGTATTTACACTACCTATCTTTGTTTATTTCCTTACATATCCCTACTAACCTATTACACTTCAATGCAATCAAACAGAATGTTTTGCTTTTGGGATATACAATTTTACCAAAACTGCATTTTTGAAGATTGTAACTCTCCGATGCAAGACAAAAAATCATGAAAGTTTTTTTTTTCATTTTATCATCAATAGTTTAAATCGCAAACTTTAGTGTCTAATTATTGTTAAAAGTTTTTAAAAATAATCTGATTATTTTTTTATTTGAAACAAACTAAAATGAAGGTGGTTTTGAAGAATCATAAAAAAAATATGAAACGCACTAACAAACGTGAAGTTCGAACTCAGCATAGAATAGATTAGGCAAAATATGAACAAAAAATACCAGGGAATTAAGACCAGGTTACCGGAATATGTTATCGTCTTCCGATGCAGCAAATATCTATTGAGCCGCTATGTACAAATCGAAACCCCTCCTCGTTTTATTTCCTTTTCGACTTACCGTTTCGATTCCTTCTTTTCATTTCTTTTCCCGTCAATATAATCAATAAAATGGCGGATGTCAAGTTGATTGCTGAAAACCTTATCCTCTTATGTTATAGTTTGTTTCATATTTTATTGTTTTTAACATTTAACCAGACATTTCATTTGCTCTTCTTTTTTACCTGCATTGTATTTGTTATTTAAGATTGAATTAAGAAACAGTGTTTTAAATCCGATAGCATGTGCTTATTTGCTTATTCTAACTATCAAGTACACTTGTCAATATTGAGAGGGCATTTCGACAACAAAATATATAGAGGTATCTTCGATAAGACTAAAACCTGTCAAACAACAAATTCTTCTAAATTACATTTTTATGTAACAGTACCATGCGGAGGACCTTGTGGATCAAACGCACAATGCGATAGAGTCAGCAACCAATGTGTCTGTAACACAGGCTACATCTTTTTCCATGGATCATGTACTCGTAAGTAAATCACAGAAAAAATGTCGTCATCGAATGTAGATTAAGGAATAGGTACTTGTTCCTGCATTGACTTCGTCATTCATCAGTATCAATTTAATCTGATTTAACCAGCTGTTTGACAAAAATGTTCTAGCAATGGTCAATTTAAGCTTTATTTTATCAAACGGTTAACAAGCTTACGTAATTTTCTGGCCGAAAAAGGATGATTTTATCAAAAAAATGTCCACCCAATTCCGTATGTAGCAGCTCAGACAACATATGTTATTGTCAGACAGATTTCATAGGAGATCCATACCACGGCGGATGTCAACGCACGTCTTTATTTACATCATCATTTTGTCCGTGGGTTTAAAATGATTTTCTTTTTACATGGGTAGTGTCGCATATATATTTTCATTTCTGCATAAACAATTTACTATGCAGTATTAAATTTAATTTGTTGTTCTCACAAGGTCATTGAAAAATTAAAATGTCATTTTTATTGATGTTTGTAATCCAACAATTAATTCAGATCTCAGTTAATCCCGTCAAGTAAGTAACCAATGTTACTTTCACTACCACGGCACGTATCAATGTACTAACAGAAGTTGAATTTCTTACTATGAACCTTATTGTCTTTAACTCGTAAAGTTGCCTCAGTTAGACTTAAGAAACTATAATCTCAAGTGATGAATTGACCCTGGTATAGGATAATTCCCGAACAGTTATGAGGTAATAAGTTATAATTCTGTTAAATCATTCGCCATTCCTGAAATAGACAAGCATGCAACAGTAAGTGCAGATAAACAAGTATTAAATATTAAGAGAAGATGAACATTGGGGGTGTCACTATACCAACAATCACTAAGATTATCATAAAGAAAAGGATAGCACGCTAAAAGGTGTTAGCAATTAATTTTATTCTGTATGTCTTATGCAAATGTCCTTTGTTAATCAATGATATTAATGGAGAATTAAATATTACTTTCATCACTGGTATTTCTCTCTGACATTTATTAGAAAATCTATTAATTGAGGGGGAAAAGGATGACATTCTACGAAAGTACTTGTTTTCTATATTGACACCTTCAGGAGTGGTATCAAAATGAAATAGTAATATTTTTGCGTTGAAAATGTTGATACTGGGCCACGTAAAACTCACTCCCGCTGTACGTATATGCTAACAAAATATGTCTAGGATTATCAATGTTTCAGTTTAATGGGCATTGTTTCAAATCAAAAAATCAAAACGTAGAAACGCAGATTAATGCAAGTGCAGAATGTTTTTGGTATATACCGTAACACCTCAACAACAATCCCGAATACACCTTAATTTAACACATTTGTAGTGCCATGCGGAGGACCATGTGGGCCCAATGAAAGATGTGACAAAGGCAGTAACCAATGTGTCTGTATCGAGCGATACTTTAAATACCACGGAGCATGTGCCTGTAAGTACAAACAGAAACTATATTCATATTCAGTGTCAATATAAGAAACAAAGGTGGATTTAACTTCTTACAATAAACCATTCTCCCATTTACCCTTTCGTTTGCCTCAGTAAGACTTGAGAAACCATAATTTCAAGTCGTAAGTCAACCCTGATATAGGATACTTCTGGTACAGTTATCAAGCAAAAACTAATAAGTGTAAAAGTATAAGGAAACCACGCTACAAGGCGTTAGCAGTTTTGTCTCATACAAACAATCTTTGTTTGTTAATCATATTATGAGTAAGCTCAAAAATGCCTTCATGGTTTGTGTTTATGTCCAATATTTATCATGACATCTTTTAATAGTGTAGGGGGACATTATAATAGCTCAATTTTACAAAGTGCTCTTCTTCTTAACTCATACCTTCAGGATTGATATTCAAATAGAAATATAAAGTGTCAGGTTTCGCAAATACTTGATTTTGATAATTGGCAATGTCCACCTTACTCTCGCTGGAACCATTATGCCAATTGATATTTCTGATTTTATTAGTATTTCAATTTAACGAAACTTGTTTCAAATAAAATATCAAAAAAATCAAATATACGTTCTATAACATATAGAACACAGATTCGCAGATTCGTGCAAAGTACACAGCTTTCTTTGAAAATACCATTAAACCCCAACAATCTCGGTTACTTCTTAATCTAACATATTTGCAGTGCCATGCGGGGGACCATGTGGACCTAATGAAAGATGTGACAGAGTCACTAACCAATGTGTCTGTATCGAGCGATACTATAAATACCACGGATCTTGTGTCAGTAAGTACATACATAACCTGCATTGATCTTGCCTATCGTTATATTCTTTTTAGATATCGTTACATACAGGATACACTGAAATGCAATCAAATCATATTTTAAACTTTCACCAAAACTGAATTTTTTGAAGACAGTTATTATCCGATGTAAATCAAAAAATCATACAAGATTTCAATTCTACAAACAAAAGTGAAAATTAGTAAAATTCTGTCGTTATCGGCAATATGGTCTAGAGCGTTTGAATACCTTCATCTTAAATGTGGTGACAGTAGTGGGTTCGATGTTCATAAATAAGGACATTAATGTTTGATTTTAATCACGTTCTTGAAATAACTGAACAAGTGATTCTGTGCAGTCCTCTATAGTTGTGTAAAAAGGTCGTGTATAATGTGATATGTTTGTGCAGCTGAAACAAATTTATATTTTAGAGGATTTGTAGAATACTCCAGATTACTAGAATACTGAAGCTTTAACAATTATGTAATTCGACCAGAAAATGATTCGACTTTGGCAAATTATGAACAAAAATACCAGAGAAATATGGCCAGGTTTTCAGGAATGGTATTCGTTCTCTGGTTCAGCAACTTTCTATTAAACTGTTAAGTTCAAATCGAAAACGATGTTGTTGTTTTCCCGTCCTTAGTGTATACGAAGTTGTTTTTAGTTTCGATTCCTTGTTGTACGCTTCTTTTCTGCTCAATACTATCAATAAAACGCGCTTGTTGGAATTATTGCTGAAATCCCAACCATGCTGTTTCATACCTTTTTTCCAGTTTTCATTGTATTTAATATTTAAACAGAAATTCTTACCACAATTGTATTCGCTCTGCATGTTACATTCCTATTATTTAATGTCAATACTTGTTTGTATATACACACATAAACTATTGTTATTATTAATGATCGATATATTATTGAATCTCAACATAACTTCTTTTGAAAGCTATGGTGTGTGTTAAACTGGACACTTTGAATATTCGAGCTATCAAGTGCAATGTTCAATATTAGGAATGCACTTTAAAAAGTGAAAGTGTAAAGGTATCTACGATAAGACGAAAGCATGTCGATCATCAAATTCTTTAAAAATACATGTTCATGTAACAGTACCATGCGGAGGACCGTGTGGACCCAACGCACAATGCGATAGAGTCAGCAACCAGTGTGTATGTAATACAGGCTACATCCGATTCCACGGATTATGTACTCGTAAGTAAATCACTCAGAAAAAATTGTTATGACATGTTCCTGTACCTCTATGGATTTCATCAATTATCGAAATCAAATAAATTGACTTGAACCCGCTGTTTGACAAAGATAGTCCGACAATGGAAAATATATGCATTCATAAAGCATTATGTAATATCTTTCTGTTCATCCTTTTTTGACATATATTATCATAAGATTATTTAAAAATGATATATAACGGCTAACTGGTACTTTAAATTGTTGTTAGTTAATCTAATTTTCTTGTTATTCGTCACAGTTTGATCAAATCCCATTCATGAGGATTAGCAAACTGTAAGAAAATGCAATTTAATGTAACGGCCACAAATGAATTTCAAAAGTACAATACATGTTACAGTCCCATGTGGAGGAAAATGTCCACCCAATGCTGTATGTAGCAGTTCAGACAACAGATGTCATTGCAAGCCAGGTTTCTTAGGAGATCCATACCAGGGTGGATGTCATCGTACGTATTTTTAACATCAGTGATTTGTAGCTCATAGTTTAGATACTATTTATTTTGGCTTGGGTAAAAAAGCGTACACATGTTTATTCATGCATAGATTAGTTCCTAAATCTAGTAGTAAACTTCATATTTAGTTCTCACAGTATTCTTGGAATTAATGTTAGTGATGTCCCGACATGTTGATTGAGATTTGAAAGTGTATTTCAGTTCGCAGTGTTGTACAGTTTGTCCAAATAACCTACTCTGTGAGTGAAAGTGCTGGAACGGTATCGCTACAACTGTCAAGAACAGGAGGGTTGTTTGGCTCAGTGACGGTGTCTTGGTCTACCCATGATGGAACTGCTCGTTACCCAAGCGACTTCTCCCGAAACAGCGGAGTAGCTACCTTTGGAAATGGTCAGAGCACAACGACATTTTCTATTGGAGTTGTCAACGACCAGGTAACGTATATCATTGTTTGTAATAAGGATGTAGTAATTTGTCGTTAACGTTAATTTGCGATGAATATTAATAACATAACAAATATTGTGTCCTTATAGACCATATATATTTGTGTGTTCGTTTTGCATTGAAATGAAACAAAACCCGTTTTTGTTGAACTTTCAGATATATGAGTCCAGTGAAAGTTTCACAGTAAGTCTGTCAGTTGTTGCATCCTCAACCATCGTAGTAATCGGATCACGAAGAGAGGCAACAGTCACCATCACGAATGATGACAGTAAGTAGGATTTTGATTATTCAGTTACTATTTTTTGAGTGAAACATTCAGTTAATCAAACAGGTTAAATCAGATGTTTCACGATAATAAAGGTTTAATTTCAATAAAACATTGTTTGCGTACGATGGATTTATCATGACATAGTAGCATGTTTAAGCAGCTAAAATGAAACCCGTGCTTGATATGCATGGAATCTCTACGTACAGAACCATGTGGTGGCCCATGTGGACCTAATGCCCGTTGTGACCTGACTACGCAGAAATGTATATGTAACCAAGGTTACATCCGTTTCCACGGCAACACGTGTCAATGTAAGTATTGCATATGGATTTAATTTTTTACTATAAAGCGTTCTCCAGTGAGCCCGTTAATTTTCCTTAGTTTTACTTTCGAAACTGTAATCTCAAGTGGTGAATCAAGTACTTCATTTTTACAAAGTTTTTCTAAGTTCATACCTTAGGATTGACAAATGAAAATTTGTGAATTTCAAGTTTCTAAAAATATCTGATTTTGATGATTGGCCATGCCCACCTTTCACCCACGGTACCGGTAATGCCAATGAACATGTCTGCGTTTATTAATATTTCGATCAAATAGACAATGTTTCAAATGAAAATGTCAAAAGGATCAGAGTTACATTCTATGACACATAGAACACGAATTCGCAGATAAATGTAAAGTCCACAGTATTTCTTTCGGAAAATATAGTTCAACCCCAACAACAGTCTTGATTATTTCTATATTTGCTAAATGAATCAGCGACTATGTTATGCTTGTTTTCTGCATATGTGACGTTTGTAGTGCCATGCGGAGGATCATGTGGACCGAATGAAAGATGTGACAGTGTCACTAACCAATGTGTCTGTATCGAGCGATACTATAAATACCACGGATCATGTGTCAGTAAGTATATATACATAACCTATATTAATGTTACCTATCTTTGTAAACCTGTTAGATACCCATACAAACCTATTACACTACAATGCAATCAAACCGTATTGTGTTTGCTTTTTTATATATAATTTAATAAAAAATGTATATTTAAAGATTGAACTATCCAATGAAAGGCAAAAACCCATGAACGAATTTCAACTCTACCATTTATAGCTTCAAACGCAAAATTTAGATTCTGCGAAATATAGTACAAGCCTTACCTGATAGGTCATAGTTCCAAAACGGTTGACAGTCTTCTCAAATAAATATGATGACAGTAATGCTTTTGATTTGTGAAAATACTGCTATTTGTGGTTGACCTTTAAATGCGGTCTTGAAGTAACTGAACATGCTGTTTTGTGGAGCTCTCTGTGTTGTAATCGGTTTGATTTTGTATTTTGACCTGAAATATAACTCCATGTTTGAAAACGGTTAAACTCTGGTGTACGAAAAAATTAAGTGTCTTGAAATAACTGAATATTTTGCTCTGTACAACTCTCGGTTATTGTATCAAATTTTCTTGTAAAATGTTATGTGATATGTTTTTGATTTTAAACAAACTAAAATGCAGGATGTTTGTAGAATATATAAAGGATAGTGAAACATTAACAAACATGTTATTCGAATTAAGATGGAATAGATAAGGCAAAATGTGAAGATAAAAAAATCTGGAAATTCAAACCATATTTTTCGGAGTGATCATCGTCTTTTGCATAACATTTATTTTATCAAATCGCTGTGTTCAAGTAAAAAATGAAAACTAGTTTTCCATTGTGTTTTATTTCATCCTCAGTTTATATGATTTTTTTCCATTTCGACATACGGATTCGATTCCTTGTTGTTCGTTTCTTTCTGTTAGATATAACTTATAAATGGAGCATACTTGATTGATGAAATCCCTTGCCTAGTATTATTATATCAGTTCATATTGTTTAGTTATATTAACATTTGAACAGACAAAGCTATTACTATTAAGATTGTATTGATATATTGATTTCGAAATACAATAAATGTGGACATCTTGGTACTTTAAACATACTATCTATCCAGTTAAATGTTCAAAATTTACTGAAAAGGTATTTATGATAGGTTGAAAGCGTGGCAAACATACGATTCTTTAAAATTACATGTTCATGTTACAGTACCATGCGGAGGACCGTGTGGACTCAACGCACGATGCGATAGAGTCAGCAACCAGTGTGTCTGTAATACAGGCTACATCCGATTCCACGGATCATGTACTCGTAAGTATATCACAGAATCAGATGTCATATAATGGAGTATAAGGAATGTGTTCCTGTACCTCTGTAGACTTCGTCATTCATCAAATTAAGATACATTCTCTTGAATCAACTGTCTGACAAGATGGTATCATAATTGTCAATTTGTGCTTCCATCTAGCAATAGACAATGTCTAGCGGTAAATCCATTTCATTGACATACTTATTTAATCATATGATAATTGGAAACTTGAATTTCATATTAAAGATGTCGATAAAATTGATATAACTTTTTATTACATCATGCTCTGTGTTATCCAGTGATCAACCCATGCCATATAGTTTGCGTATTAGCCAATGTAATATACCTTTTAGCCCTGTGATTCGTTGTAAGTTTCCATTGTTTCAATTGTGACGTCACACTTAGGACAAGTACAGGACGTCACAGACTAACGCACTGGAGTCAAAATGGCGGTGTTTTACATTTCAGGGTTGCATACAAATTGTCGTTTAACACGAATAAATGCCCCAACTTTAATTATGTGATAAGAGGATATTAAACTCGCTTCATTTCATATGAAATTTGATGAAACTCGTCACGAATGTTTCATTTAATATGATATTGAAACTCGTGTAAGATCCTATATATCAGATCATATTGTCGTTCGTCGCAGTTTGATAGATCCCGTTCAAGGAGATAATCAAGCTGTAACAAATGTAAACGTAATCTGACCGTAAACAGGTTTATTTCTTTATGATATCATTTTTTTTGATATCAAAATGAAAATGTAAGATATTTGTATATGTCTACCTAAATTCCTGCTTTGCCCATAATGCCGACAGATATGAATGGAAATTATTTCAAATCAGATATCAAAAAGTTTAGATATACATTCTTTAATAAATACAACACGGATACGCAGATTAATGCAAATTGTACAGAAAACAACCCCCCAAAATTCCTGACTATTCCTTATTTCAACACATTTGTAGTGCCATGTGGAGGACAATGTGGACCCAATGAAAGATGTGACAAAGGCAGTAACCAATGTGTCTGTATCGAGCATTACTTTAAATTCCACGGATCATGTGTCAGTAAGTAGATGTATTGAAATTACCTGTGATTGTGTACCTTTTAGATACCCTTGCAAACAGTATACACCACAATTCAATCAAACCGTATTTCGTTTCCTTTTGTGATATAATTTAATCAAAACTACCTGTTTGATGATTTTGATAACGCTCCGATGTAAAACTCATTAAAGGATTTCAATTCTTTTACTCATTGTTTCAAACCCAAAATTACGTGTTTTAAATATAGTAAAAACCTTAAGTGATAATGACGGATATTTGCGGTCGACTGTCTTCGAACAAAACAATTTTCGGAAACAATTCGTTTAGTTGTTGCGTCCTTGAAATGAATGAACCTGCAGTTAATTGCAATTGTCTTTGTTGTTGTATGGTTCCGTCCTTGGAACTATACATCGCATTTAATCGTTATCTTTGTTATTTAAGATTGAAATAACATATGATCTTTTAAATCCGAAGATATGTGATGATATGTTTTATCGTTTCTTTCGGTACTTTAAACATTCTAGCTATCAAGTGTTGAATTCAATATTGAGAATGTATTTCACAAAGAGGAATATAAAGAAAGGTTTCTACGATGACATTAGAGCAGTTCAAACACTATGTTCTTCTTAATTGCTTTTTTATGTAACAGTACCATGCGGCGGACCGTGTGGACCCAACGCACAATGCGACAGAGTCAGGAACCAGTGTGTCTGTAAAACAGGATACATCCAATTCCATGAATCATGTACTCGTAAGTAAATCACAAAAACAGATGTCAAAATAAAGCATATGGAATACTTTCCTGTACTGTAACTTCAGCCATCTGCGATTCAAATAATGTCCACTTAAATCACCTGTTAGATGAAGATAGAATAACAATGGTCAACGTACCCATTGTGCAATATCGTAACCTTCTCTCGCTGATTGACATCTGTAGGCATAAGATAAATGAAAAATATATAGATTTCGTCTAGAAAGTGTTAACAATTTGATGTAAGTTTATCTTATTATCCCGCGGCCCCAAATATATTTTTCTTAAAATACGATACATGTTTTCAGTTCCATGCGGAGGAAGTTGTCCATCCAATTCCGTATGTAGCAGTTCAGACAACAGATGCCATTGTAAACCAGGTTTCTTAGGAGATCCTTATCACGGCGGATGTCATCGTACGTATTTGAACATGATGGATTTGCAGCTTTTAGTTTATATACGATTTTCGGTTGGAGTAATGAAGCATACACATGTTTATTAATTTTGTATGCATCAATTGTTTCCTAGATTTCATTTTTTGTTTTTACAATGTCCCTTGAATCCATATTATTGAGGTCCTGATATATGTTAATTATGATTTGAAATGTATTTCAGTTCGCAGTGTTGTACAGTTTGTCACAATGACCTACTCTGTGAGTGAAAGTGCCGGAACGGTATCGTTTCAACTATCAAGAACCGGTGGATTGTTCGGCTCAGTGACGGTGTCATGGTCTACCCATGATGGAACTGCTCGTTACCCAAGCGACTTCTCCCGAAACGGCGGAGTAGCTACCTTCAGAAATGGTCAGAGCACAACGACATTTTCTATTGGAGTTGTCAACGACCAGGTAAAGTCTAGTATGCGTTGTCATAAGGGATATCGTTGATAACGTAATACTGCAATGAATATTCAAATATTATTTCCTTCCTGGCCAAATATATTTGTTTGCACGTTTACGCCAGATTTTGAAATCGAAATGAAGCTACACTCCCTGTTTTGTCATTTTTTAGGTATATGAGTCCAATGAAAGTTTCACAGTTACGTTGTCAGTAGCGGTATCCTCAACCAACGTTGTAATCGGAACTCGAAGAGAGGCCACAGTCACCATCACGAATGATGACGGTACGTAAGGTTTTGATTATTCAGTTAAAATTTCTTCAGTGAAATACAAAGGGAATAAGACTTGTTTTATCAGATATTATATGGAAAGTAAAGGTTTAATTTTTAGAAGTATACATTGCTTGTGTATCATGGATACATTGCACAGTATATTTTTGTTCACATAAAGGAAACACCGTATTTGATATGCCAAACATCACTACTTACAGCACCGTGTGGTGGCAAATGTGGACCAAACGCGCGTTGTGACCTGACTACGCAGACGTGTATATGTAACCAAGGTTACCGCCGTTTCCACGGCAGCACGTGTCAATGTAAGTAACGATGTCTGAGTCAGTTTCTTACTATAATCCGTTGTCCCTTAAACCTTTTAATTTGCCTCAGTTAAACTTTAGAAGCATAATCTCAATAATGAATTAACCCTGATACAGGATAAATCCCGTACAGTAATTACGAAACAAGTTATAATTTTAACATTATGTTGAATATTTTGCTCTTCTAAAATGGGCAAACATACGACAATAAGGTGGGACAAAATTATTTAAATGTTCAGTTACCGTATACATAAGATTTGTTAATAAACCAACAATCACTGAGTCTATGATCAGAAGTATTAGGAAGCACGCTACAACGCGTTAGCAATATGTCCCATATACATTTTCTTTGTTTATAAAATATTACTCAGTAATACCTTCATGATTGGTATTTTTGTCAAATATTTATCATAAAATCGATAAATGTTTTGAGAAAATGACTATAGTTCAGTTTTGCAAAGTGCTCTTTTTCTATATTCACACCTTCTGGATTGATATCCAAATAAAAACGTAAAGTGCCAGGTTTCGAAAAATGCCAGGTTTCGAAAAATATCTGATTTTGATGATTGGCAATGTCCACCTTACTCCCGCTGTACCATTAATGCCAATTAATATTTCGGCGTTTATTAATATTTCAATTCAATGAACATTATTTCAAATGAAATATCAAAAAGTTCAGATATACGTTTATAATATAAATAACACAGATTCGCAGGATAATGCAAATGTACAGTTTTCTTTGATAAATACCGTAAAACCCCAACAACAATCTCGGTAACTCCTTAATTTAACACATTTGTAGTGCCATGCGGAGGACCATGTGGACCCAATGAAAGATGTGACAGTGTCACTAACCAATGTGTCTGTATTGAGCGATACTTCAAATTCCGCGGATCTTGTGTCAGTAAGTACAAATATAATCTGTATTGATTTTACCTATCGTTATATACTTTCTAGATATTCTTAGATTCGTGGTTCACAGCAATGCAGTCAAACCGTATGTTTTGGGTTTTTTAATTTACAACTTTTAGCAAACTGATTTTTTTAGATGGTTACTCTCCGATGTAATGGAAAAGCTCATGAAAGGATTTAAATTTTACAATTGATAGTTTCAAGCACAAAATTTAGTGTCTGAAAAAATAGTGAAAACCTTACCTGATATTTCATTGTTCCAGGACAGTTGACTTTCTTCGACCGTAAAACTGATGACAGTAGTGGGTTCTGTTTAGGGAAACAATGTCAGTTGAGTTTGACCTTTAAGCGTGTTATAGAAGTGACTTAATACAGTTGTGGGATCGCACAACGTTACACGATGTGCGGTGTGCGCACGAAGTGTGCACGGTGTGTGAACGGTGTGTGCACGATGGGCGAACGATAAAAATGTGGACGATCATTGCTTGCGCACATTTGTGCGCACGATGGACGAACTTTGTGCGATAACAATCGTGGTTTATGTAAATTGAGGAATGCCTTAACAATTTATACGGGTTCGTGTTTAAACATATAAACTTGATTTTTACGTATGTTTCTATATTCTAGCTACATATATAAACTAATTTTTTTGTCTATACATTTTTATATTTAGAAATTGGGTTTCGGTGTTTTTTAACAAACTTAATCGACACATGTAAAATTACAACACAATCCCGTATACAGGTAAACATAACTACTTTGTACATGTACCTAGTCCTTAGTTTTCCCCTCGCCTGGGGCACTTACGTAATTCGTCGGGTTAGGCCGGGGTGTGAAATCCAGGTGAATGGGAGCTATAGGCAAACGAATGCAAATAACAAATACTATTCATTACGGTCATACGGTATCGCATAACAGCTCTGTGTGTCAGGTACTAGTCAGGTAAAACTCCGGACACTCATTAAATTGTTATTTACCTGTTCGGTTACCTTGGAGTCAAACCCATTCTAGACAGCCTTACGGTCGCTGTAATACTGTGTAACACGCATTGTGAAATTGTATGATCTTGATTATTGTGATGAGAAATTACAGATATATTCAAAGTGTACATTATCGCATACAAGCCTTCCGTATTTTTGTCATTCCGTAATTTTGATCTACAAGTTATACCAAATCGTACAGTTGTGCGGAGAGAAGCGCACAACGGGGCGAACGATTATTAAATCGCACAGTTGTGCGCACCATGTGTGAACGATGTGCGGACGGTGTTTGGACGATGTATGCGCGGTGTGCGCACGCTATTTTTGGTGCGTTGTGCGGTCACACAACTGTATCTAGTTCCGTACAACTCTTTGTCATTGTAGAAATAGTTATTGTAATTTATAAGGTGAATGCAGAAATTTTGTAGAATATGTCCAGTAAACTGAAACATTAACAAGCATGTAATTCGAAATCAACATGGACTAAATTAGCCAGTCGCTTTGTACAAATAAAAAAAAGAATAATGTATTACAATGTGTTTTTTTTTACCGTCCTGAGTTACTATGAGGATTTTCCATTTTCAAATAAAGGTTAAATTTCTTGTTGTTCTTTTTTTCTGTTCAATAAAACCAATATAAAGGATCATGTTTGATTGATGAAATTCGTGGCCTCTTATGTTAATTTCAGTTCATAATATATTTATTCAACATTTAAACAGAATAAGTCACTGAAAAAGTATTAACGATAAGTTGAAATGGTGCCAAACATCCAATCTATAAAATCACATTATCTATGTAACAGTACCATGCGGAGGACCCTGTGGACCTAACGCACAATGCGACAGAGTCAGCAACCAATGTGTCTGTAATACAGGCTACATCCGATTCAATGGAGCATGTACTCGTAAGTAAATCACAGAAACAAATGTCATCAAATAAAGATTAGGGAATATTTTCCTGTTCATTGACTTCGTCATATATCAATATAAATTTAGTTTGATTTAACAAGCTGTTTGATAAAGATAATCTAACATTGGTCAATTTATGCTTTCATATAGCACTAGGCGCTATCTTACTGTACATCATTTTTTATGACATGTTATCAGAAGATTCATGAAAAATAACATGCTACGGTTAACAAATCTTTAAGAACTGCTCTTTGGTAATCTCATGCTCTTGTCGTTCGTCGCAGTTTTATCAAATGCCGATCATGATTATTATGAAACGAAACTGTAAGAAGACATATCGTAATATTAAGGACGATAAATGGTTGTTTTATTATAAGAAACATTTTCAGTTCCATGCGGGGGGAAATGTCCATCAAACTCAGTATGTAGCAGTTCTGACAACAGATGCCACTGTAATCACGGATTCCAGGGAGATCCATACCACGGTGGATGTCATCGTATGTATAATGTATATAATGAGATTGGCGATCAATGTTTGACTATGGCTTACTTTTAATGGGAAAATGTATCATAAAAAGGTACAGTTAAGAATTAATCATAAACGATTTGGAGCTTTCATTTAATATATCTAGTTCGTTTCAATATCCACCATTGTTGATTTGATACTTAAGATGTTCTACTCTGTTTCAGTCCGAAGCGTTGTAGAGTTTGGTCAACTAATCTACACAGTGAGTGAAAGTGCTGGAACACTATCGCTACAACTAAGAAGAACCGGTGGGTTGTTTGGCTCCGTGACGGTGTCTTGGTCTACCCAAAATGGAAATGCTAATTACCCAAGCGACTTTTCCGACAACAGCGGAGTAGCTACATTCGGAAATGGTCAGAGTACCACGACATTTACTATTGGAATTGTAAACGATCAGGTAAAGCCTAATTTGGTAGTAATAAGGGATATTGTCATTTTTTTGTTATCGTATTATTGCAATGAATAATGAAATATTTAACACATTTTGTTTTCTGGTTGATTTAGTTTGTATGCTTTTACGTTTTCGTTTTGATTTTGATAGTAAAGTAAGATGAATCGTAACATGAACTCTCTATTATTTAAATTTACAGACATATGAGTCACCAGAAGCATTCAAAGTAACTTTGTCAGTTTCGCAACGTTCAAATACCAACATTGTAGTAATCGGAGAACGAAGAGTGGCCACAGTCACCATCATAAGTGATGACCGTACGTAAGATTTTGATTATTCATTTACAATTTTCTTCAGTGCACATTGCGAGAAATTAATCATGATCATCTGTTAATAAATAAATAAAACTAATTAAATACAAAAATATCTAACAAGTGCTGTACAGTAAGTAAATGTTTAGTTTTAAAAGTTAACATATTTAACGCATACCATACCGTTCATTGCATAATTACATGCTTTTTCGGCTTAAGTGAAAGCCACATATGATGTAACTATTGTCACTACTTACAGCACCATGTGGTGGCCCTTGCGGATTAAACGCTCGATGTGACGTGCATTCGCAGAAATGTGTCTGTATTGAAGGCTACATCTTGTACCACGGGTCGTGTCAATGTACGTATTAAAAGTGTAGTGTATCTTCAGATACAATAAATTTAAACGACTTACATGAATAAAAGGTAAAACCAAATCAAGGTCTATATAGTTTGACAAAGTGTAAATTGCTGTGAAAAATGCTTCATGGTTCTCGTTCTCGAAAGAAAATATATTAACATGGTCCTTTCAAAACTGTAGACTGTAGATCTTAGTAAATGACAACCTGGATGTTATGTATCAATGTACACAATGTAAACCTAGATATTTCCTTGTAAACAGGGACAGACATATACGTCTGATTATATTAGAAAACAAATTTCCATTTTTTGTGTCATGCAAAGTTTGTTTCAAGATCTAATGTGTACAGAATATCATTATTATTTGCAGAATGCATCTTGATATTTATCTGCCCTACATAATCAATTACTTCATTTTTATAAAATGCCATTCTGTTTCACTCCAGTACCATGCGGAGGACCATGTGGACAGAACGCCTACTGTAACCAAGCAACAAACCAGTGTGTCTGTAATACAGGATACTTCCTCTACCATGGATCATGTGCCTGTAAGTATATATTGAAGTATATATTTTTGTCCGATATGACTTGCCCTGGTCTCCAGTATGTAGATTTTTTGTATCATTGATGATTGGTAAAAATGTATTCGCAATATATTTTTTGCATCAATGACGCCATTTTCAAAGCTAAACTAGATATTTTTTCTTGTGCTTAAGGTATATGATTGGTCGGGTGTCGCGGTGGATAGCGCGCTCGTCTTCACCAAGATGGCCGGATTCAATCCCGGTTAACTGCCCGATCACGCGGGTTTTCTCCGGATACTCCGGCTTCCTCCCACATAAAGAATTAAATCCTCCGCGTGTTTCGGTCAGGTCACAAAAAGAATGATTGAAATAAGTTGGGGAAAAACTGTTTAGTAATTGATATAGAAAAATGTGCATATTACATATTTGACGATAAGACTATAAAAGTAAATGTAAAGAGATGTTAGTTAAAAAAATGAAATTAAAAAACAACAACATTGTAATACTTTGATGTAACTGAAATTGTCGTTATATCGATATATAGTCTGAATTCCTGTTAAATCCTGAAACACTGGATTGAATTTCAAGTTTTGTAACTGTCACTGAGGTTTGACAAGTAATGATGCCTAATGAAATTAATCAGTTTCTGTCTGTATCTAGTTTTAAATCGGCATGCGTTGTGAAAAAAGTATACGTTGCTGAAAAATTGCGTTGAACTCGGGTTCGTTGTCTGGACAATAATTGTTGATTTCGACATAAATGAATTATCCATTGTTTCTGTTATGAGTGGTGATGCATACATAAATTATGTAAAGACTATAACCAGACTTTCAGAAATGTTTATCATTTCGTTCATATTCTCAACAAATCGAAATCAAAAGCTGATGAAATTTTAGACGATGAAAAAGAAATGTACACGTTGACCTACTGGTTTAATGCGGCTCTTTTTGAAAATATCTACGGTCGAAATTTTAACAGAACATGGTTGATGACAAAAAGGATCTTCAGAAAACATCCGCGTTGGGTTTTTTTGTGCCTGTGGCAAAAACTGAAATTAAAAATCATGAAGCACCGACAAAGAGATAAATGCAACGGCTATCAGTTCCAAGATTTTCCGGTTATTTTCATCCTTCCGGAAATAACCGATGAAGGCCGATGGATTGTGACGTGCTTGTGACGTCATAGTATGATAATCTCTGAACGACGTTTCATGCCTGATAGTATCAAAATTTATGTGATAGATTTTTTTCACTCAGAATGTATATTAGATTTTACCTAAATAAATAGGTATTGTTTTCACTATATGAAGATGTTCATGTATAGGTTGAAACACAATTGTCTTTGCTTCAAGGATACACTTCCTGTTTCCCCACTGGACGTCTACTTAAAACAATTAAAGGCAAGGTGTAGAAAGGAGAAGCAGTTCTGTTTACGCACGCATGTGTTACCATTAAAGAGCTTCGCTGCGGCGACTTCGGCGCCCGAGAGCTACGCTCATAATACTAATAATTATAATTATTTGAGGTTCTTAAATACCGCCTTATCACAACTTTGTTCGTAGGTCGTCTCAAAGTGGTTCACAAATTATTATTCGTAGGTATAGGGCCTTTACAACCAGCCAATACCTTTTGCAACTCACTAGGGAGCAAACAGCCGATGCTGCCATTTAGACGCTCACAGCTAGCATTCAACAATTGTAGCACTGCCCAACCACGTACTCATTTAAAGAGAAGTAGACTGGAAGAAGCGGAGTAAAGTATCTTGCTCAAGGAAATAGCACAGCGACATTATTGGAACCCACAACCCTTTCGGTCACGAGCCCGGTGTCATACCAATAGACAACCGTGTCTTAAATATGTACATAATGAATACATTTAATAGAGTTTAGTTTAATAGACATCATTTATTGGTGTGTACGTTTTTGTTGATGTTAACCAATTGTTTACTTTATCTGTCCATTACATATTCCAATTGTACTTACAACACAGTGCCTTGTAATGGAGCTTGCGTCTACAATGCCTACTGTGACAAAGGTTCCAACACGTGTGAATGTAACCACGGACTCGTAGGAGACCCTACAAAGAAATGCGGAAGTAAGTATACAACATTTATGTTAAACGTATTGTGTTGTATTTATTCGAAAACCTGTTTTTTCTAAGTACAAAAGTCGTTTGTTGGATTCAATGAAGATGACATTTAATTAGTAGAAAGATTAGACAGATTTATTAAAGTTGTTTTATTATGTTTTCGCCGTATTTACTTTATTGACTGGATTTGACATTATCAAATTGATAAAACTGTTATTTTCATACTGTGACAGATATCAAATGTGATATTTGTCACAGTGGAAAGGTATTCAGTTTTAGTATTGGCCAATTATATGCTACTTTCCATTCATTTCATTTGACGCCGTAAATGTTCAGTTCAGTTGCAGATGAAAAAACAAGACGATACAATTAGTAATTGCGTTAGTAGACTTTTACAATAATATATGTACAACTGTGGTATTTACTTAGATACGTAATTGATTACATTTTAAGCAAATCTTACAGAATAATAGCAGAATATTACAGAATTGTGTTAAGTAGCCCGTTATAAACGTTACACAGCCTTGTTGCTAAGCGTGATGTCATTAGATTATGTGTCTCGAATTCCATCACTTTTTCCATGATACGTTTTTTTAAGAGTAGACGGGACTACAAAAATGAAATAAACAGAAAAAGTAAAATGTTTACCATTAAAACGCCATATATATTTCACACGTAGGGCAGAATATATGCCATTCGTGTTTAGCAATTTTGAAAAATATCGGTAATTAGTTATTTTGTTAAAACGATCTATTCCTATAGTATTCAACAGGAAACCTATACATTGTTTTTATATCTGATTGGCAAGCATTAGATTTCTATCGTAAATGAGGTCATTTGTGTAATCCTTTTAATTACAGTTCCATGTGATGGACGATGTGGATCTTTCCCTCACTCCCACTGTGACCACAGCACAAACAGGTGCGCATGTGATACAGGATACGCCGGAAACCCGTACGGAAGTGTCGGATGTGTATGTAATGGCGGACACAGCGGAGGAGGAGGCGGTGGTAGTTACGTCGGAGGAAGTAGTGGTGGTAGTTTCCATGGAGGCAGTACTGGTGGTAGTGACGCCGGAAGCAGTACTGGTGGTAGTTACGCCGGAAGCAGTACTGGTGATAGTTACACAGGAAGCAGTAGTGGGGGTAGTTTCCACGGAAGCAGTAGTGGTGGTAGTTACGCAGGAAGCAGTAGTGGGGGTAGTTTCCACGGAAGCAGTAGTGGGGGTGGTCACCAAACCGCACATGTTGGAGACTATTAATAATTTAATACGTTAATGACCGTTCGCTCAACTTGATGACCAATATTACTTTTATTTAATAAATATATCTTAGCATGCATCAAAACTCTTGTTTTTGTTATATTTGAGTTTATGTGTTCACTTTCTGAAAACATTGACAATATGATACAAATTGATTTTCTGAAGTTTGTGCATGATATTATTATTTTCTAAATTACAAGGCGTGAATGCACCTTTTTAAAAATGTCACTTCGCTTCAAATTTGTTTGCATGATGGATTTTTTTTATAAAGAATGTGTTGAATTCCAGAAACAAATATATGTTTCCAGTCTCTCAAACATCATCTTATTAAATCATCAAATGATTTATATGACTTATAATTCTATGTTTCAACCTAATGAACAGTTTGCAACAAATAGCGTATGAAAATACTCTCAATTAAATGCAATGGAGGAATTGTTGTCACTTACGTCACATTAAGAAAACAAATCATTAGTATTTCTACCTGTACATGATAATATAATTCATCAATAAATTCATAAAGCCCTAACAACTATAATGCTGTTTGATGACTAAGATAAAACCTACTCCCATCAAAAGCAAACAGATATTAAAACTAGCTCCTCTCCCCTTATCACCCGTCCCACCCCCCACCTACCCCACCCTTATACTCGTTACGATTTCGGAAATGTTACTCGTAATTATGATATTTTCACAGTAGTCAAATTTTAATTTTACACATTATCCATTTTTGCCAAAACCATAGACCAGTAAATATAAAAAATATAAAATTTTCGAGAAATTTGCAAATATTAACCTCCATAAAAATATGCCGATATATGGTATAATGTTTTGATATCTTTCAAATAATGGAGCATTTCTGAGAATCAGCCTAAACCTATACTTCTTAACTTTCTAGTCAACAGATAAACCAAACATGAAATGAAAAATACATTATGTATCAGGCACTTAACTTTAACAGGACTTTTTAAACTTTACATTTATCTCAATAACAGCCTGCTTTATAAACAATAATTGCAGGAATCAACAACCTACAACAACACACATTATTTATATCATTTGTTAACCAGGTAGAGACCCCACCATGTAAGAATGTATATAAATTACCTAATAATAATTAAAAAAAATACAACGTTGTGTTCTTAATTTTATGTTATAATGACGTAAAACTTGTATCAATCAAAGTCAGACTTGATCTACTGTCACAATACGTAAAGTTGTACTCCGCTATTTAAATGTTGAGATCTTAGGTAGCAGAATACAGTAGAAATGGCCCGACTCTGATAAACAAGGCACATGTTGAGGTAATGTAAACACAGCGGATTTACCCTACACAGCACATGTATACATGTATATATATTTGTAAACTGCACAACATTTACAATACATATAAAGCACTGAGAAGTGTATAAACCTCTTTTTTCTATGTATGTCACTTGTGTGAAAACCATGGTCACCACATCAAAAATTACCAAAACATGCCAAAAAATGCTATTTGTAATCCAAAATTTGACCCCCAACTAGTATTTTTTTCCCTAAGCTCTGTCTGAAATTAAAGATTACCTATCTAGTTGCAGAATTATCTGGGCCCAGTAAAATTGTCAAACTTGATTTTTTGCAATTTTGCGTCGTGTGCTGTTGTCAAAATTTTACCTCCTGTAAAGCTAGCTTTTCATGTGTACGCACCCTTTCGTATTATGGCCAAAATTTTATCCTCGAACCAAAGAAATCTTCTTTCTGTTTTTACAAATGTGAAGCTCACATAGCCCACTTCAACATGCTTATACCAATTTTAGCACAGTTTTATTTTTATATTTTTTTTTTACATATCATTATACAGGGGTTAGCCATGTAACAAAAATATCACCCATGGCCACAACCCCCTACTGTACACTGCTACCTTATACATCACTTTCTTTTCCCAAAATTTAATTAAAACCTTTTAAATGTCTGAAGAATGCGACAATGAACACAATGATGTATCCGTTTCCTTCCTCACTTTAATAGTGACCGAGTAATATAAATTCTCTTGACAGGTGCATTTACCAATTCTGCTCTCAAACTACCAACAAAGGGAGGTCTGAAAAATGAAAACTTAAATAGGTTTGAAGTTTTCATGAATAAAATTTATTTTTGGGTGAAATATAATGCTTTGAGATCATGTACATGTAAAAAACAAACAGTACAGTGATACTATGCTGTTACTGTCTTGCTTGATGACGTCATAGTAATTGTGATGTCATCATAACTATGACGTCATCAATGGGCATCTATGACATCATCGAGGATCACTGATATTAAAATATTGAACACTAGGAAACCCATCTCAACAACAAACTAGCAACAGACACACTTCCCGTAACCGATGAACAGCCCAGAAATGTCAGATATTCTGAAAAATCAGACAAGTGCCACCATAGCAACCGTTATTTACTTTCCTCCCCTAGAATTCACAGTGACCCTCAGAAATTGTTCATTTAACATATTTCGCTAGAAAAAAAAATTCTTCAGCTGTAATTATGGAAATAAAATTTATTGACATCACTGACTTTGCTTATTTTATCTGTATGCTGAATCAAATGGAAAAAACATCTATAATAGTGTAATTAAAATGAAAACAGATATTTTACCCATTTTCAAAAAATACAACTTTATGTATTAGTAACCATGGCTACCGGGTGCTGAACTGAGTGAAACAGACTGAAATCTAGTATGAATGCATCAGGTGATAGCCTGTGAATTATTTGATGTTTGGTATCAACTTTACCAAAAACATAATTGACACATATGTGATGAATTGCAGAATTCACAAGTGCCAGTGAAAGCGCGAGTTACCCCTCTTTATACATCCACAGGTAACAGGCTAATGACCTATATATAGACCAATCTATGTAACGGTTTTTTTGTCGTTTTTGAGTAGTTTTAAGTATTAATGAATGAAAGTGAAGCTGAATCAAGCATAAAAAGGCATTTTTTCAGAAAAAAATCAAGTTCTATGTGTATATGGTAGCAGAATACAGTAGAAATGGCCCGACTCTGATAAACAAGACACATGTCGAGGAAATGTAAACACAGCGGATTTACCCTACACAGCACATGTATACATGTATATATATTTGTAAACTGCATTACATTTACAATACATATAAAGCACTGAGAAGTGTATAAACCTCATTTTTTCTATGCATGTCACTTGTGTGAAAACCATGGTTACGATATCAAAAATTACCAAAAAATGCCAAAAAATGCTATTTGTAATCCAAAATTTGACCCCCCAACTAGTATTTTTTTCCCTAAGCTCTGTCTGAAATTAAAGATTACCTATCTGGTTGCAGAATTATCTGGGCCCCAGTAAAATTTTCAAACTTGATTTTTTGCAATTTTGCGTCGTGTGCTGTTGTCAAAATTTTACCTCCTGTAAAGCTAGCTTTTCATGTGTACGCACCCTTTCGTATTATGGCCAAAATTTTATTCTCGAATCAAAGAAATCTTCTTTCTTTTTTACAAATGTGAAGCAGCTCACATAGCCCACTTCATCATGCTTATACAAATTTTAGTACAGTTTTATTTTTATTTATTTCTTTACATATCATTATACAGGGGTCAGCCATTTAACAAAAATATCACCCATGGCCACAACCCTCTACTGTACACTGCTACCTTAGCATGCAGTTACACCAGCAAAGAAAGGGGTAAAATAGATGATCAATATTTCATAAACTTATAAACTAACATGAAGTACAGAAAATAATTCATTAGAAAGAAAAAAATGATCCTTTCACATTTTTAATATTAACACAAGAAAAGCATTGACATGATGTTTTAACGTAATATTTATAAAATACAGACAGTAAAATATGTCACTCAATAGTATCCTTTTGGGGAGGGAAGAATTAGGCAGGAAAATCAATAACAACTAAATAAAGTTTCTCGCAAATTGTAATCAATAGTCTACACTATCAACACCGCTGGGTAACGCCACTAAAGACAAAGCAGGGTCAATACCCTAGGCGATTGGTCCAGTGTCTGGTGATAAGGCTTATGATTGGACAACCAATGAGAGTTCACTAAATTAGCTATATCCTATTACATACATTGTATACGCCTGACAGACCACTCCTGTATAAAAGTATTACGTAGCAACACTCGAGTATACACAGTTGATAAACATATAAAAGCACATACAACCACATCAGCTAACCTGAACAGAACGGATGAAACCTTAAGGCGTGACATATAATTATTTCTGTAGGGTACTAAATATTATGACATATACTTGATTTAAACATATTTATTGCCCCGAATTTGAGCAGAGGATTAGACACAAGTTATATCAACTTATCAACGCATTTTCCTCTAATACAGTACATATTGATATTTACATGATAGCATTTAACAAGGCATACAAACTATATTTTACAATTATTATATTTTACTTAAAATCAGTTGCTGGATTTGATGAAAAGTTGCACGTGTCTGAATACTTCTGTATTGGTATCTACGGACAGTTTTCATTCCCAAATAAAAATATAGAAAAATGACCAAAATCCTCACAGGAATGTCCACAAGCGCATGATGGATTATCAACAATCTTAACACGGAACAAATCATTTTCAAACAGCTGCACTGATGCCTGAGCTTCGTATGTAATATAAATAAATTGCGTACGCCAAAATTATAATAAGATGGTGGAGACGAATTTGCACCACTGGATATAGCAGATTTAAAAGTATTTAAAGATGGCAATGTTCTAATTGTATTGTCAAACGAATTCCGAAGACGTAGACTGGATGGCAAAAAAGAAGAGTTGTTTGAGGAGAGTCTGAAAGAAGTTATATTGTAATCATATTGGTTCCGTAAATTGTACCGATTGTTGTTACCCACTGTGTTTGGCAAAAGGGCCGATAAATAGCTGGGAGTTAAATTGTTTTTCAATTCATATAAAATATTTAATTTTCGCCTTTTTCTCCTCTCTGATAATGTTTCTAAACCCGTTTCAA